AAAGAAAGAAAGAAAGAGTGAAAGGTGCAAAGGAGAAGAAAAAATGTAGAAAACAGGAAGAAAAAAAGTAAGAAAAGTAAGAATATAGTAAAGAAAGAGAAAAGAAATATATAAAGAAGTGACTTCCAACCTTCATCATAACAAGTATAAACAATTTGTGTAACTCTTCACCCCCTCTTAGTTCACAACCGATGATCTCTTCATCCCATGAAAAAAAGTAAGAAAAGTAAGAATATAGTAAAGAAAGAGAAAAGAAATATATAAAGAAGTGACTTCCAACCTTCATCATAACAAGTATAAACAATTTGTGTAACTCTTCACCCCCTCTTAGTTCACAACCGATGATCTCTTCATCCCATATCCCCACTCTTAAGTACAGACAAATCCATAAAGCATCCATGCTTTGTCTATTGTCAGCAGAAAGTCCATTAAGGGTTACCAGAAATAACAACATATCATATTTTAACCTTGATCGAATAAACCAACTTTATATTCTGTCCTTTTACTTCTAACAGTCTTAATCTTTAGTCCCTCCAAATAATGTCCTAGAATATGATTTCTTTTCATTTCTTCTCTGTCCCTTCTCACAAGATTTTTCAAAGCTTTAACAAGCCTCTTTTGTAAATCCAATATAAAAAATATTATCCAGGTCACTCTCTTGATTTATTACTCGTATTTCCTTTCTGATTTTTGAAACATCCACTGGGTTATTTTGTATGTCCAGTGAGACATCCTCTTCCATGTCATTCTCATAACATGTCATTTGTAGATCCACTTTTGATGCCATCTCTATCTTGTCAAATAAAACTTGCCATTTTTTCCATAGCATCTTTGGAATACAGTCTATCCATAGAAGCAAACATTGCTATTGACATTGTTGATACTAACTTCTGATTCCATTTTTCAAAAGTATCCTTCAGTATTTTCAATATTATAATATTTTGCACCATTTTATACATCCCAGGTAATTAGCTATTAATCAGGCTTGCATATTTTTCTCCTTTAACTAAAATCTTTAGTTCCCTCTAGTGTCCAATTTTTAAAATTGCTTATCATTATTTTGTCTTGCAAAAGTCCAAACAAATCTATTTCCCATTGGAAGGATTTTTTATAATTAATACAAAATCTTATTCCAAATTTATTTGGACCCTTAATCCATGTATAACTTTCTAAGAACAAAGTCTTATTTAGCTTTTTGCTGTTTATTTCAATTTTTTAAAATTCTTAAGTTTATGATTAAAATTTTCTTTTGTTAAAGATTGAAGGAAAACTCACCCAGCATTTTCAGACTTGTTGATCCAGAGGTCTGTAATAGTGTAATAGTAGTTAGCAAGAAATTTCTGAACGTGATTAGAAAAGGAAGTTTGCAAACTTTAACTTTCCTTTAAAAGGCATTGACTGCAGTTGTGAACAAGATGGCTGTCATCTCCCAGAGCTCTAAATCTGCCGGAGACTGCTGTCTTGCAGTCTCCTTGCAAGGAGCAACTGTCTGGAGCACTTGTGGGTGATCTCAAGTCCTCTCCTTGTCTGGAGAGGTTTGGAAGAGCCAGTCTTTGTTCTTTGCCAGCTCTTTGTTCTTCACCATGGTTGTCAGCTTGACTTTTCGCAGAGCGGTCTCCAGTCCACCATTTCTTCCAGAAGTCTCTCCTTGGCTCTTTCCAAGGATGGACCAACTCAGCTGTCCCAAAATAGCCTGCCAGAACTTCCTTCTCCAGAAAGAGTTCAGCAGGAATCTCACCTGGCTGGGTTTAATCTGTGCCTCGTTTTGAAAAGCAATGCTTTTTTTTATCACCCCACACGATGAACATTGTTAAACTGATTACAAATCTCAATAATATGCTAAGTTTGGCTAGTAACATCCTGGCTTAGTATGTTGTGATAACCCCCCAAGACTTAATTCGGTAAGCTGCTTCAACATGTTTTATGACTGTGTTTTGATTTTTGGTGCATTCTTGCCTTCCAGCTGCAGGTTTCTCCTTTCAGGGTTTAGTATTTGCAAGGTAACTGAAACGATGTTTCAAACTGTTCAGTTCCAATTTTGCTACCTGTGGAAATGTCTCTGTGGGATGGCAGGCATTGCTGAAGCCTCCTTCCTCTGCCCCCTTGTCAACGGTGCCTCCCTTGCATCAGGGGGGTCTGCAATGGGTCCTTGGTCACCTGATTGTAGTTACCTTGGTTTTTCTGACCCCCTTCCCATAGGCACTCCCGCCCTGCATCACCTGACCGATGCTTCTGTCTTTTGCAGTGGGGTCTGTGGGCGACGTCCTTTGGCCTCCAGTCACAGTAGCAACCTGCGGATTGTGGGCGGCATCGATGCACTCCCAGGAACGTGGCCTTGGATTGTCAGCATCCAGATACCCACCCACGCTGGCTACGAGCACACCTGTGGGGGGTCCCTCATCAGCTCTCGCTGGGTCCTCACAGCAGCCCACTGCTTCTTAAATAAAAGGTGAGGGGAAGGAAGGGCATCCTGTGGAGACTGGCTGAGTTGGGGCGTCCCAGGGGTGGGGCTGGCTGAATTGCATCTGCAGATGGAGATACAGTGTTCCTGCTATAGTTTATCAGCCATGTGAGTGAGCCAGCAAGTCCAGTTTGAAAGAATACCAAGAGTCTTACTCCATTGTTACTGCATCTCATCCTATTCCTCCCCCTGTCTCCCCCCCCAAGCAATATAGGACAATCAAGTCGGTTTGACTGAAAGGGCTATTGTCACGGCTGCTAGGAGAATATATCTGAAATTCTCCGAATGCTTAAAGACACACATATGGCATATATATGACTTGCTATGTTGTGTGATTATGTTAAAATGAGCTTGCAAAACCTGAGCTTTTGCAAACCCCTCCTCCCCTGCAAAAAAGATTGAGTGATACTTTTGCTGAGAATAACCAAAACGGTACCTCAAAATATGCAAAGTTTTCAGTTCGTCATAACTCTTCTTCCTTGAATGTTGTAAAAAGTGAGAGGGGGGGAAGGGGGGGGGGGAAGAATAGGCCAGATGTTTCAGCCATGAGGTCTTCTTCTCAAAATTGCTGTCAAGATAAAGATTGTAGACCAAATCTGTTAGTTGAAGGTGTCACTGAAAGTTTGCAAAGTTGATGCCATTTTTACTGGTCCCATTAAAAGTGCTACCTAACCATGGTATTTACACTTTTTTCCACAGCCAAAAAATTTATGATCGCTTTTTATATGCCCTTAAAAAAAACCCTTTTTCCCTTTGTGAGCTGATCAAAAATGGTGCCACTAAATACAAGCTTTTGATGTAAAGTTTTGGAGTAATCTAGGAGCAGAACAAGCAGAAGTAAACTTTAAAAGCTTAATGTTTTCAAACTAATTTCCCTTTCCTTAGGGCTTTTGGTCAAGGGAGAAGAGCTGAAGGGCCAAGAGGCTTCACGGCTCCATGGACCAAGTCCATGGCTGATATTCAGGAGGTCCTAGGTCAGATCCTTTAGCATCTTCAGATGCTACCACATAGCAGGCAATAAAATTCTACCTGAGATTCTACAGCACCCTCCCCATCCAGATGTCCTTCACATGTCTTGGGACTGCCAATGCAGAAGAAGGCAAATAATCAAGGTGCTTGAACACCCCTATGGAAAAAAGCTAGAATGTTTGGGACTCTTGAGCTGGGGAAAAGGAGATTGACACATGACTGAGATGTACAAAATCATGCATGGCACTAGAACCAGGGGTCATCCAGGGAAGCTGATTGGCAAGAGACTGAAAACAGACAAAAGGGCCTCCTTACACAGGATGGAGGACAGGTCTATTGAGGACTATCAGTCCTAAAGACTCCAAGTTACATCTGAGTTGGAGCAGCTCCTTCTCAATGCCAGTTTCAGGACAGCAACAATGGAAGAGGAGAGTATATCTACTTCCTACTTGCAAGCACCCCAGAGATGCCTGAACTGGCCACTAAGAGAAACAAAAGGCTGAACTAGGATAGTCCTTGACCTGAGCCAGCAGGATTATTGTTACGTTCTTATTTGCTACACCTGGAGAGGTGCCGTGTTAGGGAAGTCTGGCCTGGGGAGCTCTTATGAGTCATTCATCCTTAGCTAGCCAAACCGGTAGCCCAGATTCGTAGAAGTCCATTTCTCAGAGACATCGTGGGCCCCAGCTGTGGAAAGAACCATCTGATTTGACAGCACCAAGCATAATTTGCTTATTTCCTGCATTTCTATCAATAATTAATTGATTAATATTAAATAGAATGTTCTATTCTATTTCTAGCCCTTTGAGCATTTCCCAGCTGTGGAAGAGGAAGTTTCAAGTCCTCCTCACTCACTGGTGGATGGGTGGATGGGGCTCAGTGAGGTTCAGCAGCCAGCCAGGTAGCCAGCTTCAGAGGCCCTAGCTGGTGGTGAGCTTCCCTGCCCTTTCTTGCCTCTATGGGTATGGCTTCCCCTTCTTTCTTCCCTCCCAACTCTTGCCAACGGGCCCGGAATACTTTGACATGCCTTGATCCTCTTGCTCCGTTCAAGGTGTGTGGCTGCAGAATTTATGACTACTGAGCAGAAAAGGATTGCTTTCAACATGAGCTACACTGTAGACATAATCTTTAACTGGTGTGGGTTCACCTGTCAGGGTCTCCTCCAAAGAATCACTGGTACCAATGGTGCTAAGGATTCCCTGAAAGAATTTGTCATGTGGTGTAGGTAATACACATGACATCCAAACAGGGCTGAAACTGGGCATTTTCCGTCTTCCTTCCTTATTTGTGCGTTCAGACCCAAGACTGCTGCCAGGACCAGCATGCTCACCTCTCAAAGGAAAACTATAGCAACTTTTCCCAATCTGGTGCCATGCGGAGGTGTTGAAATCCAGGATGTTGAAGGCACCCAGTTGCCCATGGAGTAGTCAATGGGACTGTAGGATTGAATCTACCTACAGGCAGACAGATTGATGGACCGAGCACCTGCCGCTACTGTACAGAAGCCCAAGACACGTGCAGATTCAGCTGCTCCTTCTGATCCCAGCTCCCTTTCGTAAAGTTAATGAACCGTCTCTATTCCCCTGACAGCCTTTCTTGGTTTCAGCTTAATCACACCTTTTTTGCAGTTTTCCATACATAGTGGCTACAGCTTCCCTTCTTCTTCTCTACTCCAGATTTCTAGACAACTGGAAACTGGTGCTTGGTGCTGCTCAGCTTTCTCGGCCTGGCCCAGATGTCCAGGAGCGCACCATCAAGAACCTGGTGGAGCACCAGCAGTACAAGCGCAGCACCCACTTCAACGATGTGGCCTTGATGGAGCTGAGCCAGCCAATCAACTGCAGCGACTACATCCAACCTGCCTGCTTGCCGGATATGGATGTGGAAGTTTCATCACTGACTCAGTGCTATGTCAGTGGCTGGGGAGTGACAGATGTCTCAAGTGAGAGCTCCAGCATGTCTAGAAAGAAGGGGTGTCCAGTGAGAACACAAAGAGAGAAGCTGCCTTATTCCATGTTGGAACCTCCTGATCCTTCCAGCCCTGGGCTGAGACGTTGGAGAGCTGCTCAGCAGAACAGCTCCTCAACGTCTTAGCCAGGAGGCCCTCTTTCTCTCTGAGATCTTCAGATCCGGGATTCTTCCCTGCCTTGCAAAATACAGTCTTCTTTTCCTAGATCAGAACCCAGCTTGACAGCAGCAGGTGGCAAATCCCTCAGCCCCTTGGGAGAAGTATGTGGGCCTGTTCCAATCAAGACCATCCTCTAAATGGGAATGGGGAAGCAATGTTTGTTTTCCAGAGGTCAGCGAAAAGTGAGGGAGCAATAGGGGAGGGTGCACCTTATAAGTCTAAAGGACAATAGTCCAAGTGGGAAGGAAAAACGTAGAATACCAGTTAGAAGGCCTTTGTTGTAAGAACCTAATGATTTAGCCACCCAAATCCTAGAATATATGAAGCAAGAATAGAGCCAGTGCAGACAGATTTCCTGTGGTCATTGAGTCCACCATCTTACATCAAGGCTAGTGAGAACTTGAGTGAGGCGATGTCAGTTCAGATGAACCAACCCCAAGCAAGACGTAAACTAAATCTTTTTGCTTACAGAGCCAACGGTGACCTCGGACATCCTGCAGGAGGCCAAAGTAAACCTCATCCCCACAACCACGTGTAACAGCACGGCTTGGTACAACAAGAAAATCCATTATAACAATCTCTGTGCTGGGCATGAACAAGGAGGCATTGACACTTGCCAGGTTTGTAGGCAAAGAGCTAACGCCCTCCACACCAGAAGAAGCACGGGGCAGGGTGGTCATTTTGGAAGCGGATTAAACGAGAGGATCAGCAGCCATCTCAAAAGGAGAAGACCTCCTCCTGTTTAGTCCATGGGCAACTTCAGCCTCAGAAAGAAGGTCTAGAGCAGTGTTTCTCAACCTTGGCAACTCTAAGATGTGTGGACTTCAACTCCCAGAATTCCCCCTGCTCTAGAGGTAGCTGGGGTTGTTTGGGTCCTCCCCCTCCTCTTCCAAAAAAAGGGGGGGTCTTCTGCAAGGCAGCACTAAAGTGCACGCACAACGCACATAAAAAAGAGGCAGAGCTTGGCTCATCTCGCCATGGCTGCCATCTTGACATATCCTGCAGATACTCCTGCCCCACCCCTAAACTTAGTTTGGGACAACTTCCTGCGAAGTGACTGTTTGTTATGGCTTGTGGTGGTGGAAGTGGGGGGAAAAAACTTCATGACAAGGGTTAAGAAAAGGCAGGGAGGAGGCTGCTTGTCAGTGGGCTTGGGTGTGGAGGACAGTGTCACGTGTTGATGTCCTGAATAAACAAGGGGGACGTCTTTGTGCCAAGGCAAACAGGACATGTGGATGAGTCTGGCATTCCCCATAGCTAAATCTCTAGTTACGTTTTCTCTGCTTTTCTTCATCTTTTCCCAGACTTCTTTAAGATGGCCCCAACCTCCAGGTGACCTTCCTCCTTCCCTAACAGGTGTCTCTGCCTCACCAGGTATGGAGGCAGCTCTTGACTCTCCTCAGCTTGGCCACAGCCATGCCTTGACACATGAAGAAGAGTCAATTCACCCCTTTAGTTCTACATCATCCACAGACCGCTCCAGTGCTCCTGTAGTTGATGTTCCTCCCCTTCTTCTTCCTGCAGGGTGACAGCGGTGGTCCTCTCATGTGCCGGGAGCAAAGGTCCGAGCGTTTCTGGGTTGTGGGTGTCACCAGCTGGGGGAGTGGCTGTGCCAGGGCCACCAAGCCAGGCATTTATTCCTCTACACAACATTTCCTTGACTGGATCAAAGATGTAACCAAGGAGAACTTTTTCAAGGCTCCCCACCCACCCAGAATAAAACCACAGCTAAGCCCCACAGCAAAGCCAAATTATCAGCTGTGGCAGCAAACCACCACCTTGAGCAAAATCCAACAGTTTGACAACTGGGTTCAACCCTGGCCGAAGCCAACCGTGCCTCCTGCAAAGCTACCTTGGCAGCGGCCGGCTTCTGCAAATCAAGTCCAACAGCTTGAGAACTGGGTTCATGCTCAGGCCAGGCCTACTACACGCCCCACAATACCATTCATGGTTCCTTGGCCTCAGCCAACAGAGCCACTGCCGCCACCTCCACCGCCACCGCCACCACCACCACCGCCGCCACCACCACCACCTCCTCCACCTCCACCGCCACCGCCACCGCCACCGCCACCACCACCTCCACCTCCAGTTCAGACTCCGTCCCCATGGGGCTCACAGAATGTGCATAAATGGAACCAAGGCTGGGCTCCAATTTACAAGCTTCCCCCCAGAACAAGGCCCCCTTCACTGGCTTGGCCAGGATATGGTGCGCAGCAACCCCAGACATGGAGCAGTGTGGCTGTGACCAGGACAAGACCTCAACCTCCCTATTATGGTGGACATCAGTTCCCAAACTGGAACAGGCCTCCCCTTCGCACAACAACGCTTTTGTTATGGCATGTCCCGAGATGGTCTCGTCCAACGGCACCCATGAGTTACGTCTGGCACTCGAGGTGGACCAGGTCCCCCAAGTAGCCACAACCGCCCCACCCCATAATCAGCCAGTTATTTTCTGCCTTGCCCTGCCCGTCCATCAAGCAAAATCCAAGGGCGTACAGTTTGGGGCTCGGTCCCCTCCCTTTGTCCCACTCCAGATCCCACACTGGGTTGCCCAAGAGCAGATAGTTACCCTTTAACAGACTGATGCGCACAGGCAGAGGTGAGACACAAAAGAGGCTGACGGCATGCAGCAGAAAACCACCAAGGGCTGCACGTGTGGATGTGACGCTCAGTTCCGAGGCCAACGCCTTGGTGCTTTGGGGGACCCGCTGGTCATGCCTGCCTGGACAAGGGGCCACCCTGGAACATGCACATAGCTGGGTTCATGCCTACCGACTATTTCAGAGACAAGACCCTGGAGGCTGCATGGCCCCTGGGCCCATTCTTCTTTTGAGCAACGTTTCTAATTGTATGCTAGCAATAAAGTGATGCTCCTTCTGAATGCTTGCACTGCTTATTCCGCTGCGTGATGCCCTTCATTTATTACATCCTTTAAAATGTTGGCTTCCTATCTTTCCAAGCTAAAATGGAAACTTAGTAGCCAATAAATGGTGGCTTGTTCAAATTTCAGCATAGAAGAGATAAAGCCAAGCAGCAGTTAGAGCCCCAGAGTGGGTGAAATGGGTGAAATCCTGCTTTTGGCATATTATTATCATGGCCAGGAGTGCCAGAGGAGAACTTTCCACATGCCTCTGCCCTTCACACCTTGGATGAAAGCCTCTCTCTAGCTGACTGATCAAGCCCATGTGTGAGATGAAATGGTTCTTTCTTGCAGAAGTCCAGTCTAGAGAGAATAAAGTTAACATCTGTGACTGTGGCAGCTTCTGTATTGTCAGACGTGCTGCGGTTGGCACTCCTGCCCAAGCTGAGTCATTTTATGTTAAAAGCAGCAGGAGGTGCAAAGCATGGAATTTGCCATTGATAATGTTGAAGGCATCAATAACAAGAAGAAGAAGAAGTGCCGGAAAGCACGTCTTGCTTCTGCACAAAGTTGTTCTGCTAAAACAGCTTTCTAGGTCTCTAATGTTCTTTTTTCAAAAATATAATTTAGGAATTTTAAATACAGTAATAAAAACTAATGCAAACTAAACTTAGAGAAAGAGAAGAAAATGGAAAGAAAATCTGTCAAAACCTGCAAGATGACCCAAGTCATCTGTCAGAGCTTCCCTAATGCAGAGTTCTGTGGAATTTGGAAACACCCTTGGGGCCATCTGGTTGCTCCTAATCATTGTCACTGGGCGAAGGGTTTGGATTTCTATTCTCAGACCATCACAGCTAAAATGGCTTTTAGCGTATCTCAGACTTGCTCCTGGACACCAAGCCCAATCCATAATGAATCGCGTCTGAAGATGTTTGTCACCATTCCCCAATCAGGTGCCCCTTGATCTGTCACATTACAAGTGGCAGGCTGAGGAAGGCTCAGGGATCCACTGAATCTTCTCCAGAGCACAACTATTTATGGCACCCAGATTGATCAAGACTGGCAGAAGCACACCTTCCTTTCTTAGGCAATGTGTGGGAATATAGTCAAGATAGCTCTCCGTCTGGTCTCATTGCATTGCTTTAAAGGGTTGTGGGTGTGGAGTAGAGATGTGATGACCACCTTTGCAGTCACAGTTTTAAAGCTCCTAGCTAAACACTGAGGGAACGCTCATTTTTTGTGTGTGAACAAAACAGACCTTTTCATATTCTACAGTGCAGATATCTGCTCACTTCACCCGGCTACTTTTCTGCTGTCGGACAACTTTCATTCGGAGGCTGATGAAACTCAAATTTACCGATGCAGACTCTGATTCATGAAATGGATAGACCTGGGTTCTCTTTTCCAAACCCGGTTTATTTGGGAAACCCAAGGATCGGGCACGTTGGGGCGAAGGAAGTGCTCGCTTGCCCTCTTCCTGTGCCGTCCCGCTTCCCTTCCTCATACCTACACTCCCCACGGAGCAGAGGCAAGGGTGGCGCGGTGGACTTGGTGGGCTGCCTGCTTCAGGAAGAAGAAAAGGAACGTCTTTCCTGGACAAAGAAGAACGGGGCGTAGCTGGACGCCTGAGACCTGGGCTTGCAGAGCTGTCTCCGCTTTCTCTCCTAACCTTCCTGGTGGCTCCCCCTCTTACTGCTTGCCCCGTGCCCACTTCTCTCCCTTCCCCCAGGTTGGGCAATGATGTCGAGCCGGGTTGCTGAGGAGAGAGAACCAGGGTGTCTGGGTTTTGTGATGTCATGGGTTCCAGGAAGACGTGTGAGAAGAAGCAGACCCTGAGCCTGCCAGGAGATGGGGTGGAAGCTCCTGCCCACCCTGGCCCTTGCCATGTCGCAGCTGAAGCTGGCCCCCGGGGCCACCTTGTCTGCCAAAGAGAGCAGCTGCGAGTAAGTGGCAAGCGAGGTCCCCCAGTATGATCACCCTGTGGGCAACATTGCCACCCCCGCCCCCATAGGAAGCATCACCAGGAGACCTGCTTTCCCGCCAGGTGGGACTGCCCTGTCTGCAAGACACGGCCAGGACTTAAGCTAGCTGAGGTGGCCAATCAAACATTCCCGTCTAGTCGCCTCAGAGCTCTTTGAAAGAAGAATCTGTGCTCCAAGGTGGAGGGGGTTGCTATCCCAAAGGTCCCCAGCTTATATCCCCTGACCAGTCTCCATCTGTGCTTTCCTCTAGTGGCGTCTGTGGACGGCGTCCGTTGGCAGGCAGCCACAGCCTGCTGCGAGTCGTGGGGGGCAGGGATGCTCTGCCGGGGACGTGGCCATGGCAGGTTAGCTTCCAGCTGCCAACGCGACAGGGCTTCGTGAACACCTGCGGAGGAACCCTGCTCAGCTCTCGCTGGGTCCTGAGCGCCGCCCACTGCTTCCAGATAGAAGAGTGAGCAAGAGAGACGCTGCCTCACTGGGGGGAGTGGGGGTAGGGGGTCTGCTGCAGGACCCGCCAACCAGTTAGCCCAGCTCCTTACGGGAGCTCAGTCCGTGGCCCCAGGGGCCAGTCTGGCACTGATCCACACGCAGGTCCCCTCTGCTTTCCTCGAGGGACCTCCGTCGCCTTCTCTGCACAACTCAGCTCTCTCATTTCTCACTCTGACCCGCGCGGTCCAGGAACTTGCTCTCTCCATAAAGGAGCACAGCAGACGACAGGCCCTTAGCTGCAGACAGGCTGAAATAACTTTGGTTTTCTTAGCGCCATGTTATTTCCTGAATAAACTCTCTCTCTCTCTCTCTCTTTATTTCCTGCACAAATGTTTCCTTATAAAAGTTTATACTCATACCTTTAGTGTTTCTCTCCCCTTGCATTAGCTCCACGGCGGAGAGCAATCTGCTGTCCAACAATATGCAAACCACATTAGCTTTCCTGAAATTCAGGCACAGGTCTGTGGTGGGAAAACTGTCCACCTAAATAAGGAACCGAACGAAGCGTGTGGAGACACACGCAACAAAGTCCCTGTCATTGGCACGCACACTGTAGTGGTCACTCAGCTCCTGGCCGGAGGAACGCGGAAGAGCCCTGAAGCCTACGAGGTTTCAGGTTATGCACCCTCTGAAATGATACCTAAGACTGACAAAGGCAATGTGAATTACAGCGTGGCCTTTACAGCCAGAAGGTGGCATCTGACGACAACGTGGGGTGACCTTGTTGTGGTCTGTCCCCTGCCTCTAAATTCCACATTCCTACAAAGGGTCCAAGCCTGCCCACTTCTACTGACCCAGCACCTTCTGACATAAACTACATCCTTTATTGCTCTCCTGCAGTGCCTCTTTTCACTGGTTATCTGTGGATATCAGGGAAAAGGCAACCACCTGGTTTCTGTTATCTCTCTCCTTCCTCCCCAGGGTCATCTGGCTGTTTCAGTTCTTCTGCTCTGTCTAATATACACTACAGAACCAGAGGGTAAGGAGAGGGTAGCATGTTATTTGGCCCCCCAGATCACTAACCCATGTTCAGTTTGCAATTGTCAAGGATCTGAGGTTAGTTCAATATGCTTCTTCCAGGTCAGATGTTCCCCTATTAAATCTGTGCACGGGGTTAATAATCGTATGTAGAATATAGCATTTGTAGCTGCTTAAAGCTGAGTTCAATTTCTTTTCCTTGCAAAGCCATGGAAGAATCCTCTCCATGTCTCCTCCTGATGAGAGAGAAAGTGACAGGATCGTTCCCATTCTTCTCGTCTTGCTTAATTTCTTTGACAGAACTAACTAGCAATGGAGAAGGAAGGAAGGAAGGAAGGAAGGAAGGAAGGAAGGAAGGAAGGAAGGAAGGAAGGA